CTGAAGTACAGTTGACATACAATGTTATATTAGTTTTAGATGTACAACACAGTGATTGGACAGTGCTCTCCGTTAGTGTTTACCAAAGTGTAGTCACTCTGTGTCACATATATTATTACAATATTATCGACTATACTCCCTATGCTGTACCTTTTATTTCTCTGACTTTCTTTATAACTAGAAGTTTGTGCCTCTTAATCCCCTTCACCCATTTCACCCGTACCTTATCCTCCTCCACTCTGGCAGCCACCAGTTTGTTCTCTGTATTTATGAGTCTGTTTCTTTTTGTTTTGTTTTGTTGTTCAGAATTCACATATAAGTGAAATCATATGGTATTTGTCTTTCTCTGTCTGACTTATACCATCTAGCCTAATACCCTTTAGGTCCATCCATATAGTTGCAGATGACAGTATCTTCTTTATTCCTTCATCTGTTGGTGAACACTTGGGTTGCTTGCATTTCTTGGCTGTTGTAAATAATGCTGCAGTGACAATAGGGGTGCATACATCTTTTTGAATTAGTGTTTTAGTTTTCTTTGGGTAAATATAGTGGAATTACAAGATCATATGGTATTCCTATTTTTTTATTTTTTTGAGGAAACTCCATATTGTTTTCCACTATGGGTGCACCAGTTTACATTCCCAGCAACAGTATATGAGGGTTCCCTTTTCTTCACATCCTCACCAGCACTTGTTATTTGTCTGACTGGAGTTGGGGTGCACTGGGCCAAACTGGCTGATTAAGCCACATGGGATAGAATCACTGTCACCAAGAGTAGTTTGCTCTGAAAGGGCAAAAGATGCTGGTCAGGCAAAAGGAATATATCTACAGCAGATAGTGCTCAGTCTAGACCCACACACCATCTGCTAACACCCCATCGGCATACTTGAACTGACAGGACCCATGAGGTGACTGCAGAGGCACAAGATCAGGACAGCAGTCTTTTACATGGAGTAATAAGATTGATATCTTTACTTGGATATCACATAAGGAGTTGACACTCCATGTGTTTAAAATTAAACTCATCAACTTTCCCAACTAGTTTCTGTGAACCCAGTCTTAATATAATGATAAACAAGACATGGTCACTACTTTTATTACGAGTGTTGGTCAACAAGTAGAATTGGTCCGTAACTATAGGTTATAGCCTGGGTGGCTCAGTTGGTTAAGCAGCTGCCTTCGGCTCAGGTTATGATCCCAGCGTCCTGGGATAAAGTCCCACATCGAGCTCCTTGCTTGGCAGGGAGCCTGCTTCTCCCTCTGCCTCTGCCTGTGCGCGCTCTCTCTCTCTCTCTGACAAATAAATAAATCTTTAAAAAAAGAAAAACCACAAGGTCTCTGATTATGTATGATCTTTCTCTGGAAGTTACTACAGTTTATATACATTTGTTTGCTTTGTGTGTTTTAGATTTAAAAAGGTTTTTCAGGAAACAGAATCTCATTATGAATCTTATTTAAATTGTATGTTTTCGTGTAGCTATAATATCTGCCATATGCCAGGCAATACCACTGTGCTAGTGCTAGGGATACAAAAATAAATACACACTGCCCTCAAAAAGCTTACAGTTCAGTGGAGAGTATAGGTAAACCAACAGTTAACTACAGTACAGTCTGACATTTGCTATAGCAGAGGTGGTAACAGATTGAAATAAAGTCTTATGATTTGCACTGTGAATTGTGGTTAAACTAATCTTTTTTACCCCCAGAGTCTTTCTTCAGTTCATGTGGTAGTTTACACAAACTAAGTGAAGAGCCACTGATTCCTCCGCCTCTTCCTCCTCGAAAAAAGTTTGATCATGATGCTTCAAATTCCAAGGTAGTCAACAGGACTTAGGTTTGCCTTAACTTACTCAACTTATTCCAAGTTGTGAATCTTCAAAATAATTCTTGTTCTTATAATAGTCTGTCAGTTATAATTTGGCTACCTTTATGATTTTTAAACACTTTTTTTTTTTTTTTGAAAAATACTTTAACTGCTTATTTCTCGTTAATATTTTTTTCTAAAAAGAGGCTGGGCAGATTCACAGATACTCAGAAGCATGTTTCCTTTCTGGTAGAAAAGGGAAAAACTTTAGTATTCAAAGCATTCTTCAAATTTTAAACCAGTACTTTGCAAACTTTAGGCTGCATCAGAATTACCTGGGAGGCTTGTTAAAACCAGATTGTGGAGTTTCCCATTCAGTAGGTCTAGGGTGGGACCCAGGAATCTGCATTTTTTTAAACAAGTTCCCTACTAGTACCAGATGCTGCTGGTCCCTGGATCACACTTTGAGAACCACCACAGTAAGCCTCACTGGGGAAAGTAGAAGTAGATGGCCAGAAAGCAGAAGCTGCACATCGAGTTCCCTTGACATCGTGTCCTTTAATGTGTACAAAGCTATGTATTCCTTCACTCACTTGCCTATTATAGTTAAAATGTGTAAGTTTTTGAAAGGTGTATAAAGCAAGATAACCTGAGGCTTTATGTTCTAAGATTTCAATTAAAATATATATAAAAATATTAAACTAGGCACCAAATTAAATGGGGAGTATTTTACTCATGAATCTGATCATTAAATCAGATTAACCTATTTTGAGCTCTTGGATTTAACTAAAGAATTTTTCAGTCTTTTAAAGCTTAACAGATTTTTCAGGCGAATGGAGGTGTGATTTAATTTTTTTTTTTTTTTGAGGGAAATATGAAGTCTGATGATGACCCCCCTGCTATTCCACCAAGACAGCCTCCTCCTCCAAAGGTAAAACCCAGAGTTCCTGCTCCTGCTGGTACATTTGATGGACCTCTGCATAGTCCACCTCCACCGCCACCAAGAGATCCTCTTCCTGATACCCCTCCACCAGTTCCCCTTCGGCCTCCAGAACACTTCATAAACTGTCCGTTTAATCTTCAGCCACCTCCACTAGGACATCTTCACAGAGATCCAGACTGGTTCAGAGACGTTAGTACCTGTCCAAATTCGCCAAATACTCCTCCTAGCACACCCTCTCCCAGAGTACCACGTCGATGCTACGTGCTCAGTTCTAGTCACAACAACCTTGCTCATCCTCAAGCTCCCCCTGTTCCACCAAGGCAGAATTCAAGCCCTCACCTACCAAAACTGCCACCAAAGACTTATAAACGGGAGCTTTCGCACCCTCCGTCATACAGACTGCCTTTGCTAGAAAATGCGGAAACTTCTCAATGACCTTAGCCATATGTAGTCATTGACACTGGAATGGTATTTGTAAAGGGTTTTTTTTTTTTAATTTATTCAAAAAAGTCATAGTATTTTAGTAATTTTTACAAATAATGCTCTTACAAAATGCTACTGATCAAATAAGCTTTTAAAAATTGGTAAAATAAAAATACAAAAGTCCTTTATCATTATCCTCAGGTGATCAGTAGCATTGCCTTGTCTTGGATCCTCAGTGCTGCCAAAAGGCCAGTATAAAGAATTTATATTTGCACTGTAGACTCTGCTAAAATATGGTTTAAAGTGACATGATTGCACTGAAAGGGGATAGTGCATTTGTGGAATTTTTCAAATTTGGGTAATAGATGCCTTTTTAAGGCAATGAATTTACACAAATATAGTGGGTGTATGGTATTACTGATTTTTAAAACTCTTTGACCATCTTCTAGTTTTTACTTCTGGTTTTTACATTTAGGAGAATTGTGAAAAACACCCACTGTTCTTAAACTCTTTAATGCCCTGTCTTAAATGCCAGAATTTGCTGCTGAAGACAAAAATGGAAAATAGAATGAAAATAATAGAATGCACTGTAAATGTTTATTATTTTGTCAAAATGTATACAGACTACCTAACCCAATCATAGAGGGAAAAAGGGCATGTATCTCATTCAGATGTGCCTTTTGTTTTTGCGGACTATGGTGTCTTTAGCTAATGAGTTGCCTATTGTTTTGGAAAACAAAGTTAATATGCCATGTATGTACAGTTTTGTTTATAATGTATATTTAAAAATAATGCTAATAACCTATGTAAATTTAAATGACTCAAGGCCTATACTACAGTCTGCTACTTTACTAATTCAGAAATTCAGAGGAAACTTTCTTATGGCATAGGAACCAACTGCCTTGCCCTCAAAACCTAGCAACTTTCTCTATAAATCTCATGTTAACTAAAATTAAAAAAAAAATTTTTTTTTTTAGATTGGTAACATTTAAATCAGCAAACAAACGTACTTAAAGCTTTATTAAACTTTTTATTCAGAGAAGCGAGTAAAAGTTTGATTTGCCATTTGGACTCCTGGGTTCAAAGTGATGAAAAAGGGTGTTTTGCTGATAGTGCTGTAGCAGCAATTGTAAAGTAACCAGAAGCCACGTTGTTTATTTACTGGTCTGTGGCCTTTTACTGTGCTTTGTATCAGAGTTCTTAACAAGATTAATAAATCACCCCAGTCTTAATTTTTAAAAGACTTTTAAATACGTGTTTTCATTAATAAGGAACAAGTGGAGATATTGTTGAGTTCTGTGTAAATACATACAACCACATTATTTTCAATATTTGTGCAATTTACATAATCCCAAGGAATTTAAGTGATATAAATTTTATTAGGATAACTTTGTCTTAACTGTTAAAACACAATCAGCAAGCTCCCAGCAACCATTTCTATGCATTCAGATGAAGAATTAGGAGCATGGTAGGAAACCCTTGATAAAAGAGGATTGCAGCCTCCCTGGTAGGACCTTGGAAGCTGCCTGGATTTAAGGCCGGTAACTACCGAGTGAAATTGGTCTCCAGGTAAAAAGTCTTGAGTTTGCCATTGTTTTTTAAAGAGGTGACAATATTAGCTTTGTCTGGAAGAGTGAATTAAACTGCCCGTTTGTAAAGCCAGGCTTATAACTTAGAGGAGTGAGCCTGACCAACACCAAGAAGCGGGTGGCCTGGTGCTCGACTACGCCCAGGTAATGCTGCCTTCTCGGCCTTGTACTTTTGCGCACGCGCAATGGCGTCAACTTCGCCACTAGGAGGCGCCGGGCCCTCTTCCGGCCGGTCTTGGGGCGGTGCATGTGGCTGTGACGTCACTGCACGCGCCACATCTTGTTGCCGGGCAGCGATGGCGGCTACTCTGGAGTCCGCGGAGGACCCACTGCGGAACTTTGTTCGAGTTTTGGAAAAGCGAGATGGCACGGTGTTACGACTGCAGCAGTATGGCTCCGGCGGCGTGGGCTGCGTTGTTTGGGACGCTGCCATTGTCCTTTCTAAGTACCTAGAAACGCCGGGGTTTTCCGGGGATGGGGCCCACTCTCTGAGCCGGCGGTCCGTGCTGGAGCTGGGCTCCGGCACTGGGGCCGTAGGGCTCATGGCTGCTACCCTCGGGTAAGAGCTGACAGGAGGGGTGGGGGGGGCTGCTTTGTTCGGGAAATCCGGATTCCTGGTTTACCACGCTTGTGCCTACACTTCAGTCCACGTTATTTTATAGGGCTGATGTTGTGGTCACAGATCTTGAGGAATTGCAGGACTTGCTGAAGATGAATATTAATATGAACAAGCATCTTGTCACTGGTTCTGTTCAAGCCAAGGTACTGAAATGGTTTGTATGGCCTTTCAGCTTGTTTTAAGATAACGATTCTATTTTGCTTTAAATTGCGTTCACTACAACCATAGTTAATATGAAGGGGACTTTCCAGAACTTGTTTATAAAACAGTGTTTTAAATTATTAAAGCAACAATTAAATATTTTGGTTGATATTTTTAAGGGGGGAAGAAATAGAAGACTTTCCTTCTCCACCAGACTATATCCTGATGGCCGACTGCATATACTATGAAGAGGTGAGTATTCATTGAGTGAAATGTCTATCTTTAGAATTTATACCATAATTTGTGGATTCCAAAGTTCACGTTTCTTCACATTTTAATATTTCTGAATGCAAGATATTTGTCCTATAGTTGATGACACAGTAAAGAACATAAAGGTTACCAGAATTATATACATATACTGGTGATAAACATAGACCTGTAAAATATGTTGACAGAAGTGTTATGTGCATTTTACTAGAGACTTCTGTACTATTTTAAAGATTTTGCCGTTTGGATCTGTTATGAAAAGCTTAAGGTTTTTTGTAAGCTCTTCCTAGTGAACATGTTAACCATGACATTGAGAATTAAGTTGCATTATAAAGAATTCATTGTTCTGTGGAAAGATTGATTCAGAATGGTACTTTTTTTTTTTTTTAATTTAATTTATTTATTTGACAGAGATCACAAGTAGGCAGAGAGGCAGGCTGAGACAGGGGAAGCAGGCTCCCTGCCAAGCAGAGAGTCCTATTCGGGGCTCAATCCCAGGACCCTGAGATCATGACCTGAGCCAAAGGCAGAGGCTTTAACCCACTGAGCCACTCAGGTGCCCCCAGAATGGTATTTTTTTAAATGGCAGTTTGTATAATATTGTGGGCATCGCGTTTTTAAAATAACAAACATTGAACTAGCTTAAATTCAAGTTAGGGTCAGACTCACTTTTGTGGGTAAATCCCAACTTAAAATAGATTAAAATTAATTTTTTAAGGATGAGGTCATTTCATTTGTTTTCTCATGGGAACTCCAAAATACAGTCATTTGAGTCTTTTGGAAACTGAAATCAATACAGTGGTTGATTAGTGAAGAGGAGTTTACCAGTCATTAGTTAAGAGCTTTAACCACTTGTACTTTGTTGATTGACTCAAAGATGGATAAATTGGAGGGGAGTTATAGTTACTCTCCACTTCCCCTAATCCCATTTTATAGTAAATATTAAAATTTTTAAAAATCATAAGTAAAAGTGATACTCTGTTTTGAACAGTCTTTGGAGCCGTTGTTGAAAACTCTAAAAGATCTTAGTGGATTTGAGACTTGTATTATATGTTGTTATGAACAACGAACAATGGGAAAAAATCCAGAAATCGAGAAAAAATATTTTGAGGTAAGTACTAGATCTGTTTTTGTAGTGCTTTATATGATTTCAGCGAGGCTTTATGTGACTGTATGTTCAAGTATATTAAGGTAATTTTGAGTGGGGAACACATTCCACTTGTATGGATCCAAGGAGAGTATCCTTCGTTGCCCACCATTCTACTAAGCTTCTCCCCCAACCTTTTGCATCTTTTCTAATCCTTTGTTAACTTTTTCTTTTCTAATTAGTCAATCTAGTATCTACAAAACAACCCAAAATAATAATGGTGACATCCTTGTCTTTTCTGGGAAAGTTTTCCATGCTTCTTTATTAAACATGATGCTGGCTTTTGGGAATGTATTAATGATGTATGTAGTACTTTTGGAAAGTACATCAGAGAAACATATGTGGTATGTTTTTACCTCTGTGTTTTTCTCTACATTTTTATAAAAGCTTTCAACCAAGGTGTCCTATCTACTTTGGGGGGTATTTTTTGTTTTTGTTTTTCACTTTTTATTTTGAAATAAAGACTTATAGGAAGTTGCAAAAGTAGTACTTAGAGCCCCATGTATCTTTCACCCATCTTACCCCAGTGGTCATCCAAACCCTTTTGATGGGCAAAAATCCATCACATTACAAAGTGACTCCTACTGAGGGTACATCTCCATAGTCCTGCAATTTATCCACTGAAAGGACTGCTTTGCTTAAGAATGCAAATACATGACTCTGCCTCAGATACGTGCTAAAATTGTTTTTATTTTCATGTTTTTCTTGAAAGTAAAGAATTTAACTTTTGAGACTGTAATTGAAAATTCTATATTGTTAAACAGTTTAACTTGAGTCAGCACATGTAAAAATGCATATGTATCAAGTTCTCAACTCAATTTTTCATATGTATACACCCAGGCAACCACCACTACATCAAGATACAGAACACTTTCAGGATTTCGGAATGCTCCCATGTGCCCTTTCTAGTCGGTACTCCTCCAAAGTTAACTGTCATTCTGACTTCTGTCACCACAGGAAACTTCATGTTATGGAATTTACAGTATATCTCTTTTAAATTTATAGCTCCTCCAACTAGACTTTGACTTTGAAAAAATTCCTTTGGAGAAACATGATGAAGAATATCGAAGCGAGGATATTCATATTTTATACATCAGAAAGAAAAAATCGGTAAATACATTCCTAGCTCTTTGTCCTCTGAGGAGATCTCATTAGCTGGGCACTGTCTCTGGGCTAATGTGTGATGCAGATGCTGATTTTGATGTGGGGAAATACTTCTGATGACTCCCTGGGCTCAGGCACTCTCAATGTTCAGATCATTTAATCTACCTGGCCTTGGATTCTCCCTCTAAAAAACCAAAAACAAAAACAGGCTTTTCTGATAAAGATCCTTTCCATCTGTAAATAATAGAGCTTTGTAATTGGGCATTACCTCAGGCAAATATCTTAGCTATTTGTACATTTCTGTTTTAAAATGTCAGTTCTGACTTTTGTGAACTTTCTCCAACCATTCACATTTGGCAAATAGTCCAAAGTAAAGTATAACAAGGTAGATCTGTCCAGTAAGTAGAAATGCACTGAGTTAAATAGAATTTATGTATATTTCCCCTTTTTTGTTCCTTCCTTTACCTGTTAACATTAATTACATTTTTATATAAGCTGCCTCTGTATGCCTAGAGTTTGCACGTGTAGAGGGGAAGAATTATATTTCATCCATTTTGTATCGCCTTTTATATATGTGACCAGTAAAAGACAAGACATGATCTAGTTTATGAATTAAGGATGCTAAATTTAGTTAGTCCTACTTGTTTCTGTTATCTTTGCTTTGAATTCTCAGTGATGAAGTTTTCTGATTATGTGGATTCTAGTCAAAAGCAAATAGCTTGTAATTTGGGGGATTAAGGCTGTTAGAACTGTAAGGAAAAAGAAGTTGTGGGATTAGTAATTCAGATCTGCTTTCATTTGGCATAGTGCTGGAGATAGATAAATTTTAAAAATATTTTATGCCTTAAGGAATCTGGTTTTAGTTCAAGCTGTTGTGTAGTTTAAAAGTAGAATTTTTTTTGAGGCTTAAAGATTTTGTGTCTCCTAAATGTAAAGGCTTTTTTTTTTTTTTTTGGGCAAAGAATTACTTCTTTTTACAAAATTCATAAAATTCACCCTTTTAAAATGTACAGTTCAGTGGTTTTTAGTATATTCACAGAGTTGCACAAGCGTTACCACTTTAGTTCTAAACATTTTTTATCACCCCATAAAGAAACCCCATACCCATTAGCAGTCATTTCCTACCCCTGCCTCTCCCTAGCCCTTGGCAGCTTCCAGTCACTTCTCTGTCTGTGGATTGCCTGTTCTGAATGCTTCACAGAGGTAGAATCACACACTGTGTGGCTTCCTGTATCTGGCTCCTTTTTGTAGTTTTATAAGAAAAATACAGTTTTAATATTTCTTTGATACTATACCTTATCCATCCATTCATCAGTGATTGGTCATTTCAGCCATTCTTCACTTTTTGGCAATAATGAAGAATACTGCTGTGAATATTCATGTAAGAATTTTTGTGTGACTTCCGTTTTCAAATCTCTTGGGTATATACCTAGAATAGAATTGCTGGGTTGTACGGGAACTCCATGTTTAACTTTATGGGGAATTTGCCAAACTGTACTCCAAAGCTGCTGTACCGTTTTATATTCCCACCGGCGGTAGCTGAGGGTTGTGATTTCTTCATCTCTTCACCAGTGCTTGTCATTGTCCATCTTTTTGATTGTAACCATCTCAGTAAGAGTGAATTCGTATCTCATTGTGGTTTTTATTTTCATTTCCTGAATGACTAATGTGGAATGTCTTTACATGTATTTATTGGCCATTTGGATATCTTTACAGAAATACTTTCCCTGTTTTTAAATAGAGTTGTCTTCTTACCGTTGAGTTGTATCTGTTCTTTATTCTGGATACTAGACCCTTACCAGATACATCACTTTCAAATATGTTCTCCCGTTCTGTGGTTTGTCTTTTTTTTTTCTTTTTCTTGATAGTATGTCCTTTGAAGCACAAAGCTTTTTAATTTTGGTGATGTCCAGTGTATCTGATTTTTCTTTGGTTACTTTGTTTTGGATATCAGCAAAAAAACCATCTCTTAAAATTTTGGATGGTTATTCATTTGAGCTGCATTAGGCATATTTATTACTTAGTATTAAGTACCCAATAAATACTTAGTTTTTCATAAGAAATCGATCTTTAAAGTTTTCTTTTTTTTTTTTTCTTATAGAAATCTCTGTCGTGAAATCTTTAGTCACCTTACCCAAGCCTCTAACAACCTGGGTAAGCTAAATATATGAATGGAGCATGTGAATACAGCATGGGAAGATTGTGTTCACAGATTTTTCCAGCATGTCCATAGAGATTCGATATATAACTGACAACCACCATGGGCTACCTGCAATTTGAAAATGATTACTGACTGCCTGTCTGCCAGTGGGCCTGAAATCCACCTTAGTTTACTTGTAGCTCAGCTTCAAGTTCTGCTTAAAAGAAAATTGTGTATCAGTCACTCCTCAAATGAAAGATAGGTATTGAGGTTTGCCTTAAGTCTACCAGAAGTAAACAGTGAAGTGGCATGGTTGACTTGGCATTATTGTCAGGAAACTGGAGATGAATTGATCCAGTTTCTAAAGAGAGACATCTATTACTATGTAATTCTGTTTAAGTTGCAACTAGTAAAATTCGGTTGTCTTCAAGATCAACAAATCTAAAAGTTGGTTTTTATTTTAATGTAATTATGCATTGGTTTTTATCATATGTGTCTTCCACTTCATTGCGGTTATTACGATAGCATTAATATCGAAATGTTCTTAAAACAAAAACCTGAAAATGCTGTTTTGTATACTATTAGCCAAAGTTTTATTCTTTTCCTCCACCATACATGTCTGTGTGAGTTAGATAGTAATTTATACTGTAATGAGTTGGTAGGAATGAAAGTAAGAAATCAGGAGGGGGAAAAGGTATCTTTACAAACTTTTTCGTTTGCGAATGGAGCAAGAATAAAAGCCCAGTTTCAGGCTTGTGCACTTAGGTGGCTCTTGCACTTTTTGTCGCATATATCTTCCAGGAAAATGGCTAAAATCACCAGTGTTTACACGAAACAGAGACATGTTTTTAAGTAACTACAAATGTGGCTCTATATATATTTACCAAGTGTTTTGATTCTATGTATTCTCTGTTTTATCTTACAATGATAATCATCTCACAGACTGATCTGTCAAGGACTTCAGTTACATCAGTTGTGAAGAGTAATACTAACTGGATAGAATTCTGGTACCTGTAGGCATTGGTGCTAGGTGGCACATTTTATGTATTAAAATAAACATTGTTTTTGAGATCCTGTGATTTTGTGAATGTTTCAGAAATAGGTTTGAAGAAAATGAACATCTAAATCAGGTTTCCAGAAAAAGAAAAAGAAACCCTATTTAGAGAAATTAAAGATCCAAGTGAAAGAACCATTCTTTCTTTCAGGCTTCCTTTGGTCTTTAAAGTTTGTCTTGCTGTTCTTTTCCAGAATACCTTGTTCATACTGCCCTTAGCATTTCATTAACCAGTTTACAAACAGTTTAACCTAAATACATGATTCTTTGTTAGTTACAGATAGCACCAGTTATTATTAGTGAAGTCTTGGCACAGACGACTACTTTCTAGCCTATTCCATAACACTGTGCAACTTAAATAAGTCTGACATTGACCAGCTATAGTAATGCACTCAGATTCTCGATCCCTTTTCAACCTCCTCTTCTTTTCACTATACTTCCAATATTCACTACCTCTGGGTCTTCTGCCTAAAGTGCCCCTTGGCATTCCTGTACGAAAGCCCAGCTCCTTTACCTCACATAGGTGCACCTTACACTCCAAAATTTTCTGGAGGAGTTGGGTGGAGGTCAGCCTCTACAGCTTCGCCAGAATCACCCCTTTACTTGTGTGTGCCTCCTTCCCTTCCCTGTCCTATTCCCACTCCCTTACTTATCACCTTAAAGCGTCACTTGCATACATTCATCATCTGTTCTGGAGAACTGACCTAAGTTACTGAATGTAGATTTAAGTAGCTTGTAACATTAAATCATGGGATTTTTTTTCCTCTTCTGGAATAAGGCCAGAGCAGAGATTAAAAAGTACCAAATTTCAAATTAAAAAAGAAAAAGGTACCAAGTCTCCACATTGTAAAGAACCACTGGTTTGGTAGGACCAGTGAGCACTGCAGGGCTTACTGGGGGCTGCCAGTTCCAAAGAACCTGCCCTATCACCACCCACCATTCCACAGACAGTCAGAGAGGCCTGGGAGAGGTCTCTTTGAGGAATGCAGTGTTGGGGAATGGGATTTTGTCCTTTGGACTCTCATGAGTCCTTTAGACTCTCTTCTGCACTCAGAAACCACAGGAGAGCGGCGTGAGGGAACAATTCAAGATTAAGGATGCTTCTAGGAGGAGGAGCCCAACATTTTCTCCACCTGGTTGAGTTTACCCAGCAGATTAGCACATCTGTGTTTTTATTTCAGAGCATGGGAATGAAATTGGAGAGGTGAGGACTATCAGGCAGAGAGGTGTTAAAGATGGGTCCTGCCAGCTCCTGCAGAGGACTTGAGCAGCAACATGGAGAAGTTCAAAGGCAGGTGCGGAAGATGAGTGAGGTGTGATGCCAAGGACTGGGGATCAACCAGAATACAACCAACTCCAATCCCCCGGCACTGCCAGGGCTGGGGTCAAGTGAGAAGACAGCTCAGGAATGAACCTCTGGACCTCTAGTTGAGTGGGGGCTTGCCACTGTGCACCATGAAACCCACAGGCCAGTTATCAGAATGCAGTTATAGCCCATTAAGGTGGCCCCGTTGTAAGGCAGTGTTTCTCAAACTAGGCTGCACATGGGATCACCTGGAAAATGAAAAGCAAACGAAAGCCATGTTTGGGTCCCAATTAAATTTAAAGGCATGGGATTTTTATTAAAGGGCTCCAGGTGGTTTGAGTTTAGCCTAAATTGAGAACTGCTGTGTTAAGGAACCCTAGCATCTATTTCCCAAGGGGAAGGGAGCAAAGGGAGAAGAAATACAAAAATAAACCATCCATGATTAGAGTGGGCCTATACTGCATAGGGAGGGAAGGAGCTTTGAATGTGATGTGGAATCATCTACAAAATAGGTTTTAAAATAAATAGGACAGAGATTTAGAAATTGACTGTTGACCTGAAAATTTGGAGAACCTGGTCAAGAAGGCAAAGATGATGCTACTCAAGAAGAAAGGGGAGTCTAATAGCTGGAAAAATGAAATTGTTATAGGCTAGTCTCCAAGGACTTGAGTCTCCCCTGTATACCAGTTATAACTAAAGGTCTTTGAAATTGCGTAACGTAGTATCTCAATCAGGTATAGTTCACAACCAAGGGTCTGTGAATATTAGGTTTCATGAACTTGGGAGTGAGGTTAGGTTATTTTTCATTATTTTAAGAAGTATTAATCCAGAATGATGGTGGGATTTTTTACACAGCTACCTTTTTCTTAAAAGTTACCTTGTTAAATGATGCCAATTGCGATATTAACTCAGACTATTACTGTATTTTAAGAAGTGTGGGTTATAGAAATAGGACTGTTGTTCTAAAGTTTCCCTGTAGATGGCATTGCTTGACTTTGTCTTTAAACATTTTATAAAAAGGAAGTTGTTAAAATAGAACATTTTGAAATGGAATCACACTTGCATTTTAAAGGTAAACTAAATTAGATTTTAAAGAATCAAGCTACTTATCAGGAGTTGCTTTCAAGTACAGCGTGATTGTCTCAGTGTGTTTGGGCTGCTAGAACGAAGTATAGACTGGGGGGCTTATAAACAGAAACCTTTCTCACAGTTCTAGAGGCCGGGAAGTGCAAGCAAGATCAAGGCGCCAGCTTCGTTACCAGCTCTCTTCTCATTGTAACGTCACAGGGCAGAAAAGCAGAGGATCTCCTTGGGGTCTCTTATAGGACACTGACCCCATTTAGGAGAGCTTCGCCCTCATGACATACTCATCTCTCAAATGCCCGCCTCCAAATACTATCACAATGGGGGAATAGGTTTCAGAGAAGATTTTGGGGCTGGGTTGTGGGCGGGAAGCACAAACATGCAGACCGTAACAATAGTGTAGGTAAAGCTGATTTTTTTCTTATAAAATTGTATTTGACTTATCTTTCTGTCCATTGCAATCCGATATGCCTTTTGAATTTCTGAATATTATTTGTAAAGCTACAGAAATTGCAATTCAGAGACCATTTCTCTGCTATTGATATCTTCTGTGAGAGACCTTTAAGAGGCTGAATTACTTGGTCAGGTTCTGAAAATTAAATTGACCTTGAAAGTACATTTTATATAATGCGTGATTTTATGTTTGAGGTGTTTGAAACTTCTAATTAATTTTAATTAGTTTTCCAAACCAGTGTACCTTCCTCACTAGAGTAATAAGTAGCTTTTACATCAAAAGACTGACGCTCTGTCTGGCTTTACCACAGTCCTGCAGGCTTAGGCCTTCTGTTTGACTCTTTGTCTTTTTCCTCAAGGAACATCAGGATTTGGAAGAGCTTTTGCTGAATTGATAGTAAACATTTTAAAAGTAGAATAGTCCATTGTCGTACCATGGAGATCTCCAAGCTACTACAGAAAGAAGTTGTGGTGACAAAATTTTACTGAAAATTAGTCAAGTAATGAAAAAGTGAAGTTTTCACTTTATATAATTTTGAATAAGAAAGCAGTGAATTCTCAAACCATGTATACCCATTGGGTTAAAACTGTTACATACTTGGGGTCATTTAGGATATTGTCTTAGGTTCTTAAGTATTGGTTGGAGTTTTGTGACAATTTAGTGAGTCCATCAATTGAGAGGTAGATTCTATGGGGACTTGGGTCCCATGCCTGACCAGGAGGAGCTCCTGTCAATCTGGAGCAGGTCAAGTTCCCAGGTCCAGAGTGTATCACCAATGAGAAGCAGAAGCTGTTCACCAGTAAGCTGCTAGATGTCATGGACAGAGTACTGATCCTGGAGATCAGTGGTCATGCCATTTATGCCATCAGGCTGTGCCAGTGCAAGGTGTACTGGTCTGGGCCATGTGCCCCATCGCTTGTGGCCCACAACTTGACTGAGAGACAAAAGAAGGTCAAACTATTTTGCCTGGAAATGTTCCTTCGTGATCTCATTGCCCACCAGAAAGGACAGATAGAGAAGCAGCCACCATTTGAAATCTAATTATGATTTGGGAAAGAATAGCCAGATGGGAAAGCCCTGGAAAGGAAACTCATCTTGGTTCAGGTCATTCCAGTGGTAGCTTGGATGATCTACGAGGTGTTTTCTGGACAATACAATAATGTATCAATAATGAATCAAGATAATTTCTGTTTATAACAACGTAATTTTCAAATAATGGACTTAAAAATGTGTTAGAGCAAATTATCTCCATGATAATGTTCTCATGTGCATTCTTAAAACAATGTGTCAGAGCATAGGCCTAAAGACCGGATTATCTGGGCTTAAATTCCAGTTCTGCCATTTACTAACCATGTGACCTTGAAAAAGTTATTTAAACTGTGTGCCTGTTTTCTCACATGTAAGGTGAAGGTCATAATAGTGTCTACCTACTAGTTTGCCATGGGGATTAAATCAGTTTAATACATGTAATGCACTTAGGTACCAGGTGCATAGTAAGTGTTCAAAAAATGTGATTATAATAGAGGTGTAGGGACTAGGAAAATGTATATAATGTAAGTCAATTTTTATTTATATTGCAGTATAAAATCTGGACATTTTTTCGAGAGTGTAGGGCCCTTGTGCCCATCACTCCCCCTTCATGATAGCAGTGGCCCTTGGGGTAGGAGGAGGTTGAGAATGCTGTTCCACCTCCTTTATTTGAACAAGTAAGCAGTTCTAGAAAGAGGAAGAAAATGGGGTGAAAGAAAAACATTTGTTTCCCATTCATTTTTTTTGGTTTTAAAATAAGTGTCATGGGCATTCAAAGGCCAATAGGTACAGGAGACACATTTCTAAGTATAGGAGCCTGGCCTTGCTGGCTGGAGCTCCAGGATTACCATTCCACCTCCCCAGACCTTCAGCCAGTGTTTCCCTCTGTGGTTCTTATCTCTGTAAAACTGAGACCAGTTAGGGGGCAGGTGATGAACGTACAGCAGCAGGTCATTTTTCCGAAGTGGGACTCAATGCATCTACATAACTATGTTCAAAGTTTGGATGTATTAACTCTAGAAGAGCAAGGCAGTGTAGCAGTTACCTCCCAAGGAAGCGATCTTTGTCCACGTAATGAACATACGTGATGCGTGTGGGAGCTTAGTGTAGCTAGTCCCTCCGGCTGCCTGGGAGAGATGTGCCGACAGACAAGAACAAGAGAGCCTTGAATTGTAGCTGCTTCCTCAGCCGGTGTAAAGTTTGTTAAGTTTTCAAGACCTTTTTTATTTTCAATTGATGGAAAAAATTGTCATGAACACTGAATAGCTGGTTTTAGTTTTTAGAAATATTTATTCCTTAACCTATAATACAGTAATTAATCTTGGTGAAGTGTAAGTTGGCACTTTTTAATATTCATGAGGCTGAAAACTGTTATTTCTCCCTCACAAAGCAAACTGAAGGCTTTTGGAAAAGAGCTATACTAGATGTAGGTTTGACCAGGTTTAGTGTTTGAGTAGTTCGCAGATCTCCTTCCTGTACTAGCTTTCATGAAGTAGTATTGGCAGTCTGTTAAACCCTTGATGGATCAGTGCTTTTAAATAGTCCTGGGTAATTTGTTTAAAGTTAACTTTTATTCCAGTTTGTTAATTTCCTGAAACCCAGGCATGAGCAGTGTGAGCTCCAGGTCCACGTGTTGGCTCACCATTGCTTTGATAAATCATTGCCACAGTTAAGAGCGTACAATACAAACATCCACGTATCCACACGCAACACCTGACTTTGTTCTTTTAGGAGAGTGTCCTGAAAACCCACTTGTGGGGTGCCTGAGTGACTCAGTTGCTTAAGCGTCTGACTCTTGATTTCAGCTCAGGTCATGATCTGAGGGTTGTGGGATCAAGCCTTCGCATGGGGCTCTACATTTAGGAGGAGTCTGCTTGAAATTCTTTCTCTCCCTCTATCTCTTTCATCACTCCCTGCTCGGGCACACTCACTCTCTAACTAAATAAATAAATCTTCAAAAAAAAAAAAAAAAGTCTTGTACTGCACACACAGTACAGCTGCATATCGGGGTACTCCAAATGTAAAGAGCATATTTTATCCAAAACTTAGATGAGAAGCTTTACACTTGCATTCAGAATGAGTATAAAGAATACTCTCATGGCATATAATTCGCATAGGCCTGGTTTCTCGAAACTTAGAAACAGGAAACACAAGTCTTACATTCTCACAGATAATAAATGTTTAACCAGAAAGTGTCTTTGGATGTCTGTGACATTTATAAATGTAGGTACAAAAATGTGCTCTTAGTTTTTTGTATGTATGTATGTATGTATGTATGTATTAGAGGGTGTGGGTGGGAAGGGACCAAGGGAGAGGGAGAGAATCTTAAACAGGCTTCATGCCCATTGTGGAGCCCGATTTGGGGCTTGACTTCATGACCCTGAGATCATAACCAGAGCTGAAATCAAGCTCAGCTTAACGGATGGAGCCACCCAGGTGCCCCAAAAACGTGCTTTTAAAATAGCTGTCTTCTTTCTAAATCTTGTCACAAAGATCCTTTTTTTTTTTTTTTTTAGCTTCATTGTTCCAAAACTCTTTGCGCTCTCAGGCATATATATGACACCCACATTCAGTCTGTTACTCTCTGTCTGGAGTGTCTGGTTGTTAATCTGAGATCCTCAGGAAGAGGAGAGCACAGTAGTGGCTCAGTGTGGCAGGAGGAACAGAATTCCCTGTTAACCCTGGGAGACCGCCCCAGTTCCACGCTATGTCTGGTCACCTTCCCGTTATGCACCCAGGCTTGAACATTCTGTGTTTCTCTTGAGAAGATCGTTCACTTGATTATTAAGTAATCCACCTGTATGTCCTTGGGCAACGTGACCTCTGAATGATTACATCCCTTGCTATGAAAGAAGAAAGCCGTGCACTGGCTAGCTCCATGGAGACGGCTCAACTGGTCTAGTAAATGGAGACGAGAGCAGGGAGGAAGGCCTCGCTCTACAGAAGCCTCAGGTGTTGAGTTTGCTCTGAGAATTGAGAGCAGCCAAGTCTTGTAAACTGGAGAAATGTGAGAGAAGTCACCCTAAGCAAACAACACTTAACGTGATCCAGGGGAAAACAAACAAAAGCCTCAATTGCCAAAAAAGAGGGGTTCTGTTTTGCAGCATGCCAATCAATTACTTGTGTGTCCCGCCCTAAATT